AAATGAGTATCCTTGTCAATATTCCGTAAATAAAGTCGAACGGTCTTGCTCCAATCCAAATAATTCGAGCCATTAAGTTTATGGTCCGTGATTTTCGACATCACAGGTACCATATCCGACGCAACAATGGATTTCTTCTCATTCATAATGTCGAAGCAGCAATGCAAGAAGGCCCAAAAAGTCCAATAACTAAAGTAATTCACCTAAAATGATGCAGGCCCAATACGGCTCAAGAACATCCCATTCTAAATAAAATAAGTCCACAAAATTAGGTTTACTTCAAATAAAAAGGGGCTAAATAAATCAGGCCCACTTCAAATTAATGGGTAGCCCAATCCACACAATAACCACGAAGTGCTCAGCCTCAATTAATTGATATCCACCTGTGAAGAGGAAAGCAAAAAACGGTCTCACGTTGCAATCGAACACCACTACCGCCTCGCTGAAGACGGCGATCTACACCAACCAAGATGTTGACCGCAAATCGGTCGACCCAAACAAACAGCAGCTACGAAGAGACGCCAAACAGAGATCGACCACGAGATTTGCTTCGATCAAGGAACGCCAGAGGCTTGAACACCTACACAACGACACCGGAGTTGCGTCAACCACCCTCGAAGAAGCTAGAACCCGCGGCGAACACCCACGATGTCGGAGAGACGTGGAGCAGAATTCGGACCACCAAAAAAAAAAAATCAGCGACGGTTTCTATAGGTAATGGCTCTAATACCATGTGAAAAGAAAGAAAAGAATATAGTACTTTTTCCTTATTGATTAGTAAAGATTATACACGTATATATACACAACCTAGGAAACTATCTTAGAAAAGTATACAAATTAGGAAAACCTAGAATGAAGCTAATTAGCCAACTACTAATTACAATTTGTAACACTGATAATACTTTTACATGATTAGTTCCTTCTGTATCGAATTTACTCTAGACTACTGTTCGGAATCAGCCTCTTTAGCAAACAAGCAAGGGATTGATCTGTTGATCTACGAAGTTTTAGATTATGAAGTTGATGAATTGTTTGGTGGTTGATGCACTCTCTTAATGCTTATTTACCATTTGTAATTTGGGAAAAATTTGGGCTCTAATCTATGAACTTGGTAGTGGCATTTGAGATTACAAATTTATTTAAATGATGTGGACAACTCTAGTGTTACCAAATGGCTGTGGTAATGGTGGTATCAGAATGGGGACGTAACAAATTGTTTTTCCTGTACCTTTGTAAAGGGAGATGGAAGAATTGGCACAATGTATGTATGCATACAAGCCAATTGAATGCAGCCAAAAGCAGCAACTTGGGTGGCTGAATCCAGCCTAGTATATGAAGGAAGTAATGGTGTAATGGTGTTAATGATTTTCTACTATTCAAGATCATTTTTCAACTTTTAATTTGCTAGCAATCCTCATTTTAGTGGATTGACTTGGGTATTCATCAGGTTACAGTAAATTTCATATATTGTTTTTTTCCCATACATACCTAGACACTTGCGCATAGTTGAGAGCCTTCTTCAGTTCATTGTAGCAGGAAGTAGCTTTTTAGGATGTTACCTTTTCATTTTTTCCTTCATTTCTTTAACTTCTGTTGGGTGAGGCTTTGGATATTTTGATTGTTTGAAATGCTTTTTGTGCAAAATTTACTCATAGCTGTGGATTTTTATAAGGTGCGGACAATGCGTTGTAAAGATCACTTTGAAATGAGGGAATACAATATTGATGTGCTCAAAGACGAAGAAGATTCATCTGTGTATTCGAAAGGGAGGCCATATCCAATATATCCTTCGAAAAAAGGACTAAACCCAGATTTTCTTAGGGATATCATTTCAAGGTCTGTTTCCTGAAACTTGGTCTCATTGGTTAACTAATTCTTAATGGACTGAGACTGCTATTTCTCTACCCTTTTCTTCTTCTTCTCCTCCTTTTCCTTGTTCTCTCTCTCTCTCACGGTTCACATCTTTTATCTTGTTAGATAAAAGTGTTCACTCGTCATGCAACAAAAACCAGGTCATTTCTGCCTTGTGCCATGACTACTGTATTCAAGTTGATAATTAGTCCCTTTAGTATTATGTTTGCACATCTTGTATAGGTCTGCATCTCGTCGTCACTGCCAATAAAATATTTTTATAAGTAATCTTGAATTGTAAACCACTTTATTTGTCAACAAATAATGGCTGTAAACAATTTTAAGTTCATGCCTTTTCTATCCTCTTTTTTTTTTAGAGTGGATTGTTTACCATGATTTATATTTTTCTCATCCTTTTTACGTTTTTCATTCAGTTAACAAAGGGTTCATAGGTATCCAATATTATATCTAAATGACGAATAAGTAAACAGATTGGGTCTCTGTTGTTTTAACAAGTAATAATAGTATGGGGAGAGAGTTTCAAGATTGCATTAATGAACTTCTGCAAGCTACATATTAGTTTAGGACTTCTCAAATGGAAAAGCAGCGCATCTAATTTGACCGTGTCCACAAATTAAATTGTATTATAAGAACAAGGCATTTACTGATGCATGGAGAGGTGAACACCTAAGGCTGTTTTAGGCAGAATTGAAGATTTAACTTGTCTTGTTCTTGTAAAATGTGAACTAAAAAGAGGAGAAGTTATTTATATACATTCAGAGGTAGAACATGTAAGAATTTACTGGCTTCCATTCTCTTATTGAAATTCTGTCTGGTCAGTCTACATGGCAATGTTGTGTGTAAATTTGATGTACCATTATATCTTTTACTTCTTCATTTAGATTGTAAATTTGGCATACATAATGCATTTCGTTGTATTTAATTCTAAATCTCTCTCTTGTTTTATCTTATGTGTTCACATTCTAATGCAGTGTGATTTGACATTTTTCAGAGCTCTAAAGACACTGCCACACAATCTTGACCCTATACCTAAAGATGTCACTCAGGATTTCGGACTTTTGTGTCTTTCAGATGTAAGTAAACTATCATATAATATTTTCTTTCTTGTCTCAGCAATGATGGATGACTAGGTTTTCCAATCCTTATATAACTATCTTAGTTGCCCTTCTCCCGTTCGGAGCAATTACTGCTATCATTCTTAGATCTATTTTAGTTGCCCTTATATTAATTTTTATTTATTGTTTTCGACAGGGCCTACGTAAAGAAATAACCATCAATCGTTCCTTTGTACTAGTGGTGGATTTTTTTCAGAATTTAAGAGGACTTTGGAAAATCCTATAATAGCCCTCTTCAATAAAATTATTTGAGTAGTCAAATTGAGACATTCTTATGTAGGATATGGAAAAAGCGCATATTCAAAATGGATGGATCAAAAGTATTTTGCTCTAGTATAGAATAAGGGGGAAGAATCAAATATGACTAAAGAAATGCTCTTAGATGATAAGGATAACAGAGCCCTTCCTTTCAGCTGTTTGTCTATTTATAAAGGAAAAGAAACTCGTACATTCCTCCTTGCTACTTGAAAGAAACAGGAAGAACGCACTAATGCTTTCCCAAATAATGAGTCAAGAAGTTCTTGAATTTTTTGCACTTCCAGTTTCTATCCATCCAGTTTGAACATGACCATTTTTTTTCTTGATTAGTTAATCAAAATGCACATATTTTCTTATTTCAACGATGACTTCATGCGCTAAAAAATAATCAAGTTATTTGCCTTTTTAATTTAAAACATGTTCTTGTTCAGATAATTGAATTGGAAATAAAAAAGGTCTAATTAACATGATGAATTAATTAATATGGACATAGTTATCCATGAATTTGTTATTCCATTCTGGACATTCTTCGATTAATTAAATCTTTTAATTTTTATCTCTCTCCTCATTTGGGCATCTGGGAGAGCAGCTACAGTTACAAGTTGCAGCCCCGACTTTTTACTTTCAAATTGCACTTCAATATATAAGATTATGTAAGATAATTAAATAATAGAAATGTAACTATCACCTTATACAGAAATTTACTACCCAGGATTATCTTATATAACATTGCAATTTTGTAACTTTCAGCAGCTCGATTGTATCATATCAAAACTCATAATGAAGGTTTTGTGAATATTTCATACTCCATGTTCATTTATGGGCAGAAATATGAGTTTTTTTTTTGGGTCAAAATGCAGGCATATATTGGCATTCACCAGCCAAAAAATTTAAACGAGGCCGATTTAGCACGAAAAAGGCTTATATTTGATGAGTTCTTTTATCTTCAGGTAATGATGGCATATGCTTGTTTTTTCAATTAATTCCTTCCTCGCTTTTGCTTTATTCCTCTATTTACCTTTCTGTTAAATTTGATGTCCTAATTATGAGTATTTTTTTGGAGGAATTTGTTTTACTTTGGCACACTGGGATATTGTTAATACCTCTGTCTTAGTTCTCTCTTCCCATTCCTTGACCCACAATTAATCTGGTTTCCACTTCTACAACCTATCACAGCTCTCTTATCTCTCTTCATCTCCACATCTCGTTAATGACCTTGATTTTTGTACTCTGTTATATTTTCTTCATCAATTCCATATTGGCATAGGAGCACACATCTATATAGGACCAAACCTGACAAAAAAATTGAATTACTGCAGGAACTAATTATATCTCTATAGTTCTTGATATTCAGTGCATTAATGGCTGTCGAAAATCTTAGTTTTTTTTTATGAACTTCATAAAAAGGAAGTGAGGGATGTACGAAGGAATGCCTATATTAACTAAAGCTTCTTAGTAAAAATCCAAAAATTAAATCTTTGAATATCATAATCAATTAAGTATAGTCTATCCTATTCCTTGGCATGCCCCTTGTAAAAATTCTAGGGATTGGATATGTTTTGTTATGTGTTTTCTTGGTGTCCAAAAGGACCCTTTTTCCAAACCTTCTTTTGGGGCTATTTATTTTATTTAACTACTTCCCTGGAGTAAACTAAGCCTCTGTTTGACAATCATTATTTGGGGAAAATAGAGTTTTGAATAGTGATTTTTAAGAGATTGTGTGGTTAGAAAATAAGGAAAAATTTTGGGTTTACATACAGAATATTTTATTGCGTGAATGTGATTGAAAATGAGTACGTAAAAAAAAGAGTTTGAAAATAATGATTGTCAGTTAAGGGCTAAGTATATTCACTTTAAATGGAGGAAGAGACATGGCGAAAGAGATCAGGGAATTATTTTAACAAGCTAGATTGCTAATACCTTGTGTTCTTATGTACAAATACTATATTCTTCTCTTAAAATTGTCTAGTACAAAGATTATTTCTTCTCTTTGATATAAATATATGGGGCACTTGATTAGCAAAGATAGCAGTAGATGATGTTTTACACCACGCTAAGCTGATGATGTGTTTACCTAGACTTGGCTTTTCTTATACGGATAACTTTTCTCTTGTCCTAAAGATTACTAGCTTCTACGTGAAAGCTGTTCATTGTTATTAATTTAATGCATTCAATGGAAGCCTATTTATGATTGAATTTCTGATGCTGCAAATGATATACATCATTTTTTCTTTGGGAACTTGTTTATCGGACTATTATAATTTTTTCCTTCTCACTTCTTTTCTTCCTTTTCAGTTGGGAAGGTTATTTCAAATGCTTGAGGGTCTTGGTACAAAGATAGAGAAGGATGGGTTACTTGATAAGTACAGGAAGCCTGAGTTGAGCTCAACAATTATGGAAGAATGGTCCTGTATGACCAAAAAATTCGTGGAGGCTCTTCCATATTCCCTTACTCGCAGTCAGCTGAATGCAACTTCAGAAATCATTTGGGATCTAAAGCGAGCGGTTCCAATGAATCGATTGTTACAGGTCTCGTACTTCCTTTTTCTTGAAGTTTATTACATTATTTACTTTTATTTGTGTTAAATGTTATTTCTAGAATTGAAAGTCGAAAAGTTATTCCAAAATCTCAATTTTTCTTTTAGCAACTACATTGTACTTCCCATTTCACTTTCCTAGTAATAATTAAAAGAAAAGGTTCACTTTACCTAGACATTTTATATTTCGTGGAGTTCAAGTATCCTTTTTCCTATATAATGGCGCTACTGAGCGACGGATATTTCATTTACTATCATTTCCTTTGGGAAAACCATTTGGAAGGCAGATTGTCTTTTCTGCTTTAACTTGAGGTTAGATGATTTTTTTTACATGGTCTGAGTTTGTTAGTAATGCTGTGAAAGTCATCATTTGTTAAGGGGATTCTAGTTTTCTATTATGATTCTCTCCTCATTGTAATATATCCAAAAATATATTGAATTATGTTGAGACTGCAATTTCTCCTAGAATAGGGGTTTTTGTTCGTTTTAGATTCTCATAGCTGTATTAATATCCCAATTCTAATGTCAATAATTGTGTGAATGAAATTCTGATTTCTCAACATGGTGGCAGAGCAGTGATAGTCTTTTTCTAGAGTTTTTCTGGTCTGTTCTTGCTGGAATCTGGTGGCTATGATCACCGTCTTCTGGCTTCGTTGTTGATTCTTTTCCTTCTAACATTTCCTGTGAAATGGCATCAATTTCCCACTATCTTCTCATAGATTTCTGGACTTCAATTCCCAGAATTGATTTCCAGACTCCTTACCCAAGCCCTTGTCACCAGTTATCACTTTTGTCTGGAATTAGGGCTGATTCATCTTCTTCATAATAAAGATCCAACCTGCAACCTTGACTTCTCTTTTTCCTACTTAAAACCCTTGGTTCCAGGTCATGACTGGCAAACTTAATGGCCAAAACTTTCACGAGTGGTCTTAATCCACCAAGTAATTCATCATAAGAAAGAGGAAGACAGCATTTAATGGGGAAAATGGGAAGCTTTTGACTCCTTCGACCAATTCTCGAACATGTACTTGTTTTGAGTGATTTCCATCGGTATCTACGGATTGACACAATTTGAAGCAACTGTAATCAATAAACCACTCCTTTCTAGAGCTATGGTGATTGAGGTGCTTTATTTGTCCAACGTAGAGATATAAGAATGCATGTGATGCACGAACGCTTCAATTAAGGTAACGTGTCTATGTTCGACACGTGTTGGATGCCGACATGCCTCTGACACTCAAAGGGTCTGCTATGGCCATTTTTTTTTTTTATCAAAAATATTATATATTTTTTTTATCAAATAGCAAGCAAATAGGTACTTATTTAAATTTAAAGGATTTCAACAAGAAAAAAATAATAAGTATAAAACAATATTTATACAATATAAATGAAGAATTTTAAAGAATTTAATCAACGCGTCGATAACGTGTTGTATCAATACTTTTTTGAAAAATCGCTTGTCGTCGTATCCGAGGCGTGTCTTGTTGAACACATGTGTCCGTGTTGGTGCATCATAACTTAATAAATCATATTCACTCTACAAAGCAAGGTCATTATCTGTGACCAAGTGTTACAACACTCTAGAAACATTGTGGCTGGAATTGAACTACCATACAAAAATCTTGATTGAATTTGTTGCTGACATTTCCTTGAAGATGAAGGGATTTTTCTCTTATTAGCTGCTTTAAATTTTGAACTAGATCAAGTAATGGTGCAAGTTCTGTGCAAAAAAACCTTTCTCATTATCGTAAGAGGTGTTTGCCTACGTAGGTGTAAAAGAAAGCTGTCAGATTGTTATGTTGGAAAAATCACCAATGAAAACTTTGCTCAGGTAATTCCTATATCCAATAAGCAAGGAGATTAATTGAGAAAAGACACAAGAACTCGTCGGGGGGTTCCAGGGATGTTGTGTAAACTTGATATTCAAAAGGCGTATGATCACCTCAACTGGGGGATTTCTTATGTATTTGCTCAGGCGATGCGGCTTCCGGGATAGGTGGTGTAAGTGGATTCAGTTCTGTATCTCTACAGTTTCGTTCTCAGTTTTAGTTAATGGTAACCCTAAAGGTTATTTCCGGAGTAGTAGAGATTTGAGGCAAGGTGATTCGTTGTCCCCCTTATTGTTTGTTATTGTGATGGAGGCATTCAGTAGAATGATTGAGAAAGCTGTGATGGAGGGTTTGTTAAGAGGTTTTGCGGTTGGTCATCTACAGGTCTCCCATTTGTTATTTGCAGACGACACACTAATCTTCTGTGATGCAGATGATATGNGATTTTTAAAAGGGTGGGGAGGAGGTTAGCGGGGTGGAAGCGTATTTATCTTTCAAAAGGAGGCCGTCTTACTCTCATTAAATCCATTATTTCTAATCTCCCAACATACTTTCTATCATTGTTCCCTATTCCCGTTGCAGTGGCAAATAGATTATAGAGGACTCAGAGGGATTTTTTTTGGGCAGGGTTGGGGGAAGAGAGGAGTTTTCATTTGGTCAAATGGGGTGACGTTTGTTCCCCTGTTAGGGTGGGGGGTCTTGGATTGAGGAGCCTTATATTATTTAACAAGGCATTGTTGGGCAAGTGGCTGTGGCGATTTGGAATGGAAAGGGAGAGCTTCTGGAGAGAAATCATAGGGGTGAAGTATGGTGTTGTGGAGGGGGGTGGTGCTCGGGTAAGGGTCGTGGTTCTTATGGGATGAGCTTGTGGAGGCATATCAGGAAAGGATGGAGCGATTTTCAGAATAGATTGGCTTTTGTGATGGGGAATGATACGAATGTCAAATTTTGGGATGATTGTTGGTGTGGAGATCAATCGTTAAAAGTGCGTTTTTCTTCTTTACATCGCATTGCTTTGGAGCCCTTAGCTATATTGAGTGATGCTATGACTATATATAATAAGAATCCTAGCTGGAATATCGCTTTCAGGAGGGGCTTACATGATTGGGAGTTGGATGATTATGCGTTATTTTTGGCCTCTCTGTATGATGTGCACATTCAGGTAATAGAGGATGACTGTAGCAGGTGGAGGGTTGCACGGAATGGTTTGTTCTCTGTTCGTACTTATTTCAAATCCTTATTGGAACCTGTAGAGAGTTCATTTCCGTGGAAAAGGGTTTGGTAAAGTAAATTACCTCAAAGGGTGACTTTTTTACTGTGGACGGTTGTTATATTATGAAGTGGTGCTATATGTGTAAGAGGGATGGAGAGTCGATCGATCACCTGTTCATTTATTGTGACGGTGTTTGTTGAATGTGGAATGATACTCTGGTTTCGCAACATATGAGTTGGGTGTTGCTAAGGCGTATAAAGGAGGTGGTGTGGGCATGGAAGATAAAGTTTCGAGATAAGAATAGCAAGCTTATTTAGAATCTTATTTCAGGATGCATCGCATGGTGTGTGTGGAGAGAAAGATACGGTCCTTGCTTTGAAGATCAAACATGGACGATGAGTAGTTTAGAGAATCTTTTTACTTGACTTTGTATAATTGGTTTAAGGCTACAACAATTAGTTCGATAGAAAGGTTGCCTAATTTTTTATCGTTTCTATCTTGTTTAAACTGATAATGCACTCCTTGTGTATTATCTTTTGGTGCTGATTTATAAAATTACGCGATTACCTATAAAAAAAAAAATACTAGGATACTTTCCCTGCTTCTCAATTTTCTGTTTGCTTCTTATCAGGGTGATGTTGGATGTGGAAAGACTGTGGTAGCATTCCTAGCGTGCATGGAGGTAATTGGCTCGGGCTATCAGGTAATGTATTTTCATTATTATTATAATTCTTGTAAGTTGTAATCATAACATGATTACTTTGTATATTTAGATTGAATTGTATTCTCTCATCTTAGGCAGCTTTTATGGTTCCCACTGAGCTGCTAGCAGTGCAGCATTATGAGAACCTTCTTCACTTGCTAGAGAAAATAAAAGACATCCATAAAAGACCTTCTGTTGCTCTGTTGACAGGCTCAACCCCAACAAAACAAGCACAGTTTATTCGTAAGGTAGAAATTATCAGTAAATTACACGAGCTGTAAACTGAATTATCTTTAATTCCTGATATACCATTAGAGCTTATGTTCACTATAATTCTTCGATAGGGTCTCCAAGCCGGAGATATCTCGCTGGTTATTGGAACTCACACTTTAATAGCTGAAAAGGTGGAGTTTTCAGCTTTACGCATTGCAATTGTAGATGAACAACATCGTTTTGGTGTAGTCCAAAGAGGACGATTCAATAGCAAGGTATCCCTTCGATTTTGCTAGCTTGTGCTGATATCAATGTTGATATATTGTCTGGACACTTGTATCATATCAGTGTATGCCGAAGAGTAGTGATTCTTGTGAAGTGTGCTCAATTTTGTAGTAATAAGAACTTTGCCCTTGACCGTGTGGCTTAAGTTTATCAATTACTGATTGGCAACATTATTCAACTTTTGCGAATGGATTAACTGTTCTAGGGGATGAGGTTGATATTAAAGCTGCTGCATAAAATTTTTTGGTCTAATCAAGTTTTTTTTGGAAACAATACATTCTGCGAATATATTTCAAGCGATCTATGTATTAAAAGAAACTAGATCAAAATTTGAGAATGAAAAATATCATCAAAACAATATTCTTCTAATTTTCCGAACTTTATGGGAAAAGCTATATATTTTCATTTACTTTTCATTGGATGCGAGTTTGTTTCAATTCATTCTTGAATCATAGTTTTACTCAAGAGGTTTGAAATTTTGATTTATCTTCTTTTACCGTGTCTCGCAGATGCTAATTCCCCGTCCCCTTTTCTCTTATGTCTTTTGAGGTCCTTTGACAGCCATAGAATGGTTCTCTGTTTAATCAGCTGCCGATCAGCTCCTAATCAATAGTCTTTAGTGGAGTGACACAGCTTTGTATATAATACTTGGTTTGAAGTTTCCTCTGCTTTTTAAGTTCTTTTCTTCCTATGTAAATTAGAATTAGTAGAATTTGCTTTGGTCATTTGCATTGGCATGCAAGTGCATTTTTTTAATGGTAGTTCCTCTAGTTTCTTCTCTTACCTAGTTATTAAGTTGTAATGGGAAACTCTACAGAAATATTTTCCTGTGTTTGTTGCAGTTATATTTCAACTCCATAAGTTCCAAACTGGCCTCAACTAGTTCAAAGGATTCACAGAAAAGTGACATTGTCATGGCTCCACATGTTCTGGCAATGTCAGCCACACCAATTCCTAGAACACTTGCGCTGGCTTTGTATGGGGACATGTCGCTGACCCAAGTATGCACGCTCTTTTTAATTTCTTTCCATTATTAATGTGCTATTGCCATATTTCATAATACTCATAAACCTGCAGGCCATCTTTTCTCTGAGAATCTTTTCATGTTTATCCTTGTTATGGGATTAACATAGAACTAAGTAAAACATTGATTCCCGTTCTCTTAACACTTGGACGGCCTGTGTTCCATCTTTTTTTGTCTAAGCTTTGAAACTACGCCCTTGGTGTCTGAAAAGCTCATTTTCTTTTTTTATTCTTTTTATTTTTTGAAGTTTCATGGTAAGTGGATAAGTGTTTTTTCTCTTTATTTTTGTGCGTGTTGGTTGGTTAGAGGTGGGAGTTGGCAGGAATTCTGGTATTTCTTGGTTCTACTCTTCAAATTTCCAATTAGACGTTTCTTATTTGCATGGTTCATCTTTTTACCTTTTCTTTCTTTGGCAATTCCATTTAACTTCGGTAGATTAATGAGAGGGTCTCAAGCAATATAATATGAGAATCCAGTGTTTTATTTGCATTTGGAAATAGCAGCTGATTGTACACTAGATAGTTTTGGCGGAAAATTAAATATTCTTTTACAAGCTCTTAGGTAAATAATTACAAAAGTTTCTCCAGACCACTAAATCTGAATTTTCGAAAGCACTTCCAAGAAAGTCTTCTACATTTTCATTTCCACCCAATTTTTATGTAATTATAACTATGCGATTTCTAGTTTTATTCGTTTCTTATATCTACCGAAATAAAGCGTTGGGGAATTTTAGTGTATATAATTAAACAAACACGATCATTTTACTCATTGGCATCTTCAGTCTTCTTGTATAATTGAATTTCAAGGGTTTAGTTTTTGCATCCATTAGACTTTTTAGTGGTTGAGGTAATTACTAAATACTGACTTGTTTATAGCTTGAAGGTTCCATGTATTTGTGTTGCGATGAAAAAAAAAAAAAAGAAACTTTGTGTAATTACTGAAATCTTAGATCTACTTTTGTTTATGGCTAAACTTATTAAAGACATGTCTATTTGGAGCAGTTTTACTACAGATCACACGATTCTTTTCATTTCTTACTTCTGTTTTTTTCCTCTAGTTATCAATGCGTACAGAAGGTCTTTTCTAATTTGGCACTATGAAGAAAGGTGTTAGTCTTGTCTAATGTTTGCATTTGACAAGGAAATGGAAAGGCATTGCAAGAAAACTTTGTTGGGTGTCAAAGTTGGACGAATTGGTGCAATTAATATGTGGGTCCAACTTTTCTGGGAAGCCCTTTGAGAAGCAGAACATAATTATCCCAAAGAATTTTATGAAATCTAACTGTCCATGAGTATGTAAAATAGGACTCTTATTTTTTATTGTTGTAGTTTTAACCTTCACTAGTATTTTACTCGAGAATTCTCATTTATGTCAGAGTAATTCTTGATATCATGCTCATGTTATTTAGATTATTCTATGTTTTGAATCTTTTGGAAACTTCTTGAAATGACAGATCACCGATTTACCTCCTGGAAGAACACCAGTTGAAACATACATCATTGAAGGAAATGAAACTGGATTTGAGAATATATACCAGGTAATATATTTCATTACTAAATGTAACGATCACCGGTGTGTTTCCTGTGTGAGCTAATAATTAGTTATTGAATTGCCCACTTGCCTCAGAGGAGTATCTTTATTTGCTGTGTAAGTTATTGATTAGGGCTGGACATGCTGCAGACATTTCACACGAATCAATGATAAAAAGATGACAAAGCCATTTAGAAAAACACCATAATTGTTTAGTTTGATTTATGCTGGTAGCGGTGATAGATGCTTCGGTGTGGCATTTGATAAGTTTTGGGTGGATTATGAATTTACTGTGTGAATGCCAACTGCCACTATAGCATCTAATTAGAAAATATATTTTGCAAAAATATGATGAAAAATATTGAGTTTTAGTTAATTATATCTCCCATTTCTGAAAAATGCAAGATGAGCACCACTTATTATCCCAAGCATGATCAATGGATAAAGTTATTGACCTCTTTCAAGTATGTATGGATTAAATTATATCTATTTGAATATGCTCACATCATCAAATATCAAGAATGAGACCTTTTTGTGCCCGTTATTTTACAGAAAATCTTGTATATAATCAAATTAGACTTTGAAATCTTTTACTGTTGCAGATGATGGAGGAAGAGTTGGGAGGAGGAGGAAAAGTATATCTTGTGTATCCAGTCATCGAGCAATCTGAGCAACTGCCTCAGCTTCGTGCTGCTTCAGCTGATCTCGAAACTATCTCTAGAAGGTTTCCAGATTATAATTGTGGATTATTACATGGAAAAATGAAAAGTGATGAGAAGGATGAAGCATTGAGGCGGTTTAGGGCTGGAGAAACAAATATACTGCTCTCTACACAGGTGATTGAGATCGGGGTTGACGTACCAGACGCGTCTATGATGGTTGTAATGAATGCAGAGAGATTTGGAATTGCGCAATTGCACCAACTTCGAGGTCGGGTTGGCCGTGGAGAAAGGAAGTCCAAGTGTATATTATCAGCATCTACAACCACTAGCCTAAACCGACTGAAGGTGCTTGGGAAATCATCAGATGGATTTTACCTTGCAAACATGGACCTTCTACTGCGTGGGCCTGGCGACTTGCTTGGTAAGAAACAGTCAGGGCACCTTCCTGAGTTTCCCATAGCTAGGTTAGAGATTGATGGGAATATTCTACAAGAAGCGCATCTTGCTGCACTGGTGAGTTATATCGTTACACTATACCTTATTTTAAATACCATGCGTATTAGTTCATAATGTTTCTATGAATTAGGAAATGCTGTTCATTATGTATGCATTCCATTCGACTAGCAGTGGTAAAGATAGGACATTTTGCAGATGATAAGCTTGAAACCTGCACAATTGGCTATAAATGGAGTAAAACTAATTCTTGTCTAGGAAACTTTTCTCGTCATAAGCTTGTGGGATCTGGTTATTTTGTAGCACAAATGAGTTTCTGCCATTTACGGATGGTCTACCTTTACTATTACGGCCAAAATACTTGTTTGGAGGACATACATCCACATATTGACGGAAAGTTCAATTTCTAATTGTAATTTTCTCAAACTTTGATTTATGTGATTGTTTTGAAGTATGAACATAGACATCATGCCATCTACCTTGCTTTCTTCAATCTCAGTCAAATTTGATGAAGAGTGAAAAAGAAAATAAATGATTTTCTTAACAAATGAATATTTGTTTTGGTTGCAGAAAGTTTTGGGAGAATCTTATGACTTGGAGAAATTCCCAGACCTCAAAGCTGAGCTTAGCATGAGACAGCCTCTGTGCCTTCTTGGAGACTAACCAACACCCATGCATGTTGACTTTTTAGCTTTCGTTGAAAACTGTGTGTGTATTGTTATCTCATGTTCACTTATGGAAGGAGTTTTTCTTCTTGGAAAGCTTTTATCTGTTGTAAATGTTAGAATTAGTTGTACTTCAATTCTATGTGCTTCTGCTTCGTGGTGCAATTTTTCATATGATGAATATTCATCCTTCAGCTGTTCAAATACTGTGAGTTTAGCAATGCTTTGTGGTTTTAGCCCCCCCCCCCCCCCCCCCCCCCCCCCCCCCCCCCCCCCCCACCCACCCCCCCCCCCCCACCCCCCCCCCCCCACCCCCCCCATAACAATATAGCAAAATCCATATCCCTACTTCCACTTATTGGTAGATGAAAGTGCACGATTATGGAGATTGCATGCCCGGCTAAAAAATCTTGAGGCCCGCACATAACTTGTATTTGGCTTATGATATCTGATAAGTGTATTTTATACACTTATTTGGGGTCTAAAATAGCGATATTTGATAGTTCTTCTAATAATATATGCTAAATTGTTGTATTTTATGTTATATAGGTAAAACTCAATGGTTTAACAATAAATGGAAAGAAAAGTGAAAATTGGTAAAGAATGGCAAAATTCAAAGTTTGATGACCAAATTGCAAATTCAATAGTTGATTCTGACCACAAGATGATACTTTGAAGATTTCTAGGAACAATTGGATGGAATTATAACTCAAAAAGGAAACAATTGGATGGAATTATAATTCAAAAAGGAATGGAATATGATTAAAATCAATTTTTAATCGTACAAGTTATATTTCGAATTTTTGGTCGAGAATTGAGACCCAATTTTGGCATAGTAAACGTTCGAATTGGGAAAACTCTACTTTTATAAAACTTTTAGCCATTTGAGTTAGATTTTCAACGAACTTTGAATTATGTGAATCGGATATCGGGTGGGAAAGTTATGGTCAAAGTACTGAATGCTGTGTAGAGACAAAATTCATGTGCAAAGATAACTTTCTTTATTCGATTGAAACTCTTTTAGAAGTCAATTTGGACGTGATTTTCAACTAATTTTTAACTTCTACAAATACTTGACAGTAGAATACGTATTGAGAACTCTGATGTACATATTATACTTAGAGGTGTCAATCCGAGTGAGCCGGGTCGGGTCGGCCCGTCAACATATGAGCCCTGTAATGACCCGCGTGAAAAAAGCCCACCCACTAGGGTTCAGGGCTGGTTCCCGGTCAACCCACAAATTTTGGATTACAATCCAGGCCCGCCCGCTGACCCGCCCGGGTCTAGCCCATACGGGTCACGCGGGTCGCGGTTTGTTTTGATTTGGCCCGTATTATTGTATAAATAAAATTATAAAAATATAGAATTTTTCATATTTATCTATATTTATAAAAAAAATATTTTTTTTGTTAATTATAAATTAAGAATTGAATAAAATGTTAAATTCATATTTATACCAATAAATGTTTATATAGAATTCAAATTTAATGTTACATGAATTATTTATAACTTTGCAAAGTTAAATTTAACTTAAACAAATAACAA